GTGCACTTTCAATGAAATTACACTTCATTGTTGAGGGAAACAAAAGATGTAAACAACTTGCAGTTTGGTGGTGTATCACTCATATAGAATTATAGAAATATAATATAAAATGACAAAATTAAGAAGGTTTAAACCTCACATTACCAACATAGATGGAGCGGGAATCCACCTCTTCCTTTTCAGCTTGGCTGGCAGTAGCAGTCGCTGAATCTTCAAACATGTCCACACGTGTAAACAAAACAATAAAATACTACACAAAAATCAACTTCATAATGTCTAATCTAGGAATATCGGATGAGCAAATTAAAGATTACAACTTTACAAGTATTGAGCATTCATTGTCCCAAGAATTATCATTCACTCAGCCATCATTATCAGAGCCTATCATATTTTCTTTAAAATAATTACTTGAACAAAGTGTAACTTAATTAATACTTGAATATTATTATGAATTATGGGTCATACACTCTAAAGCACACTCAAAACCTTAAGTAATATTTGGCTACGAAATGAGAGAATTGCAACTACTATATACGGAGTACTTAACTAAGTGTATTAACACTTCTAATAAACTTTGTCTCAGCAAGTGGATTATATTTACTCCCTGAAAGCATCTTCACATAATAAGGTAGTACTCACAAACCAGTATTCAATCCCTTCTAGCAACTTGGACTATTAACCAAATTGAGCCAATTTAAATTGAGTCCCAAATAAATCAGAAATGTAAGGCAACACAATCCAGGTTGTTGGGCAGTGGAAACCATTCACCTAGCTAGGCTGGACATATTTTGGAGGTTTTTTAATTGGGCTGGTCAGCGTGAAACTCAAACAGGGTTGTTCATGAATTTAAAAAAATAATCTTTTTTTGTATTTTGTAAATTGTAAATCGAAATTGTGAAAAAACTGGGTAAACAAATCTGTGTCTTTTATTATCTTTCTTTCACATTTTTCTATGTCCATCACAGCTGCGACTTTGGATAACACAGGTGACTGCGCATTAAGACAATCCTAGCCACTTGGGTTCTCACAATGTTGAATCATTTTGGTATTACGTAACCACAATTAGTTGGGTCATCTCACATAATGAAGCACTGATTCTATATAAACTAAGAAACTCAATAATTGGTATAAACAGAAAACAGTTTATCCTAATCTATTTAGGTCGAAATGATCTAAAACCTTGAGCACCACCCATTTCTTTCTCAACTTTAGCTTGCATTTCACGCAGGGCACCTGATTCCTCCTCAATCTCCTTCAGCCTCTTCTTCATATTCTCCAAATCCTGTTCAAAGTCACCACCACTAACATTAAACCAACAGATTGGCAAATCTACAAACAGAAAATCGACAGAGATGGAAAGTAAGCCAAACAACTTTAGAATTATTTTCTTCTGTGACCGGGGCAGCTGACATGTCCACGTCTGCATCCATATACTCTTCTTCTTCTTCCTGCTCCCGATTCTCCATTGCTAATATATATTTACTATACCACAATCAATTGTCTCTGAATTTTATTCGGAGGTATATATCTATAGTTTTTAGATGTGATATGAATTGCAGAAATGGAGGCAAATTTGGTTAATTTGAGCTGGGAGCGACGACTTTCTAGGTTTTCGTAGAACTTACGGAAGAATGGAAGAGCTCAAGTTAGAACTTTAAAACAGTTCTTTCAGATTTATAAAGCTGGGCCTAACTACATAGGTTTGGAATGAATATCCATCTCTAATGGATCGTTGCTGGTCTGTTACCCGCATTTGGGAAAAAATGTAGGCTGGAAAAAATATACTTGGCCCTTATAAGCATTTCATTGCACAACAACATCAAGAGCCAATAGGACATGATTATTTGATTTTTATGTAGAAATAACTAACAAAAAGAACAACTACGTATTTAATTACATCTAGTTTAGAAGTTGCTCCACCAAAATAAAATTAGGCATCTCAATATAAAATTTAACAAATAAAGATGATTACTACGGAAATATGTGTGTACAATATGTGTGTACAAATTGCTCCACCAAAATAATTCTGTTACCCGACAAACTTCTCAGTGGGTCACCCATCCTTGGGCTTTCTAACCCCGGGCTCGCTTAACTCCAGAGTTCTAAATAGCACCCATATCTTTCTTAAAACCAATTGGTGATAAGGAAGTGGACACCCTCTATTTAACTCATTACTTTGTAGTCCCCAAGTCAATGTAGATTCTTGTGGGGCACCCCCACAGTTCACTACGGCAGTGCAGAGTCCCACTACTGAGCGGTGGATGGACATGAGGGGCTGCACCACTTTGTGGTGCCAACAGGTTGAACGGTTAAGCCCTGAATCAAAGGGTGGTGCTGATCTCCCATAAGACCAATAGTAGAGATATTAGTGTCACTTATAGCAACCATGATTCTTGATAGCATTATAAAAGTGAAATTATCGTACAATTTTTGTACAATAGCGAAATGAATTTATTGTCATGCATCCTTTTGATGCCTATTTTCCCAACATAAAAAAGTGTATGTGCTTGAATAAGTATCATTTTAAAAGTATTGTTATAAATATGAGGTGAAATTGACACCAATAATCCGTACTTACACTGATTTTACAATAATAATCCCAACCAAATGAATTGATACAATTAATCCAAACAGATAAACACATTCACATAAATAGATAAAATGAAACGGAATTAACGTTTCCGTTTCACCGCTTAATCCCCATCCACCTCCCACACATCCCGTTTCTTGCCCTCCCCCTCATTTACTCTTCAAAATATTTGATTTATCTTCCTCCCGCTCTCATCAACTGCCTCACGCACTCTTTCTATCATCACTGAACTGGTTTTTCTCATGTAATCACCACACTTCGCTGCTAATCTTGGAGCTACCCGACCAGGCTCGATTAAGAAGAGAAAATTGAAGAAACGGTCGAGTATTTGGTGGAGAAGTAGCATACCAGAAACAACTCTTTGGAATTCTTTGGATTATCAGGTTATTAATGTAATTCTTTTTCTTTTAGATAGGAATCAGTCTTCGAAGATTGGTTGTTGACTTTGGAAGATAGAAATGAGTCTTTGAAAGATATGTCCTTCCCGATTTCAGGGTTATGACTTCTCATTTTGAGAAAGATTGGTTATTGACTTTGTGTTTGCTTTTGATGTAATTGATGACTAAAGCTACGTCTTAGCAGATTCTCATGTGGAAATATAGTGTTTATTATAAGCACTTAGGGTTTTAAATTCCCAAAAAAATCATAAAATAGGTATTTAATTCTAAGTAGAGGTTTAACCAAGACATTCATCTTTTTTATACTAACTGTTTTGCTTGTGTAATATATAAGTGTATTGTCTATACTCTGTCCACTATTGACATAAATCCCAATTGAATGTTCCTTTATATTGTTACTGTAATGATCTTTTTAAAAGATGAAAGCATGTGACTTGAGTTTTGTCAATTGGAGATCTGCAGGAATGGAGTTGTTTAATCTGAACTATCATTATGGAGGGCATTTAAACAAAACAGCCCCATCACATTATGTAGGAGGGGAGGAAACACTCGCAATGAATATAGATCCTGATAAATTGGATTTTTGGTTGCTGTTCAGTTTGCCCAAAGAGATGGGAATTGATGATGAAATTGAGGATATTTATTACCTTGTTCCTGGGGAGTCGTTAAATGCAGGCTTGCATAAGCTTAGTGGTGATAAAGATGTGATAGAAATAGGCAGATTGGGTATGCAAGTAGGTGTGGTTGACTTATATGTTGTGCATAAGGGTGATGAAAATCAATACAATACCTCAATCGAATACCCTGCCCATTCCCCTTTCGCTGAAGGTATAGAGGAGAACTCAGAAGAAGGAGAACAAAACTATAGATGGGATGACGGCTTTGAAGAACCTGAGCATCCATATTTAGAAGCACTGGATGGAGGAAAAAGTGATACGAGTGATGAAGAATGGACTGAAGCTAGAGATAGAGTGGAGAAATGGAATATGAAAACAACTGAAGAAGTGAAACAAGCTACTGTTCAAATGGAAGAGGGCACATCTGCCGGAGAACAAGAACAATTGTTGATATTAGATAAAGAAGTTGGTGGATGTGTTTCAGAGTATGAAGATAGTGATGGTGAAGTAGATTCCCCAGGAGATAGTGAAGAAGATGATATTTTAGGGAAGAAGAAGAAGGGTAGGGCACCAATTGTGAACGAGTCTACTGATTTCAGCAAATTACAATGGTGTGCAGGGATAAGGTTTGGTAACGCACAGAAGTTTAGAGAAGCTATCACTAGGTATGCAGTTGCTCAAGGACGAAATTTGACTTACAATGTTAGTGATCAAAACAGGAGCCAAAGATTAGGCGTGAAATGTGCACCAGGCTGCAAGTTTTCTATCTATGGTTCTTGGGACTATAAACGGGACTGTTTTGTTGTGAAATCTGTGAACAACAAACATAACTGTTTTAGAGACATGAGCAGGAATAGACAACTGAAGTCCAAGTGGATGGCCAAAAATTTATTGGAAGTCTTTAAAGCTACACCCCACTGGTCCGGGAAGCAAATTGTTGATGCCGTTAAGAAGAAGTGGAAAGTGGTTATCAAGAGAACGTTAGCATACAAAATAAAGTATGAGGCTAACAAAATGTTACATGGTTCAATGAAGGACCATTATGCTAAGGTTGGTAGCTATTTAATGGCTCTGAGGAAGGCAAATCCTAATTCATTCTTTGACTTATTCACAGATCCTAAGGTCATCAGAAATCCATTGATTTTTCAGCGGCTGTTTGTATGTTTTGATGGGTTGAAATGTGGTCTTCTAAGTAGTTGTAGAAGGGTTGTTTGTTTAGATGGCTGCTTTTTAAAGACTTTTTTGGGTGGGATGCTGCTAGTTGCTGTTGGGAGAGATGGGAATAATTAAATGTTTCCCTTGGCTTGGGCTGCCGTGGAGGGTGAAAACAACAACTCTTGGGAATGGTTTTTATCAAAGTTACAATTTTGTTTGGAGACAACAAATGGAGAAGGCTGGACATTAATATCTGACCAACAAAAGGTTTGTTTCATTTAAATTTATCTTGTAAATAATCTCATGTGTGAACTTGTGATGAAGTAGATAAATGTAATATACATTTTGCAGGGTCTCGTAAATGCTGTGTCAAAAGTACTCCCTTTGGCTGAGCATAGAAATTGTGCAAGGCATATATTTAAGAACTGGCACTCTAAATTTAAAGGTGATGAGATAAAAGGTTACTTTTGGGAAGCTGCGAGATCGTATAATGAAGTTGGATATAGTGAGGCTTTAGAAAAGCTAGGAAAGATATCCAAATCAGCTGCAGAAGCTTTTGTAGCTCAAAATCCTAAATCATTCTGTAGGGCTTTTCTAAACACACACACGAAATGTGATGTCATTGTGAATAACATGGCAGAAACTTTCAATGGTTACATTATCGAAACAAGATCTAAACATATTATCTACATGTTAGAGGATATACGGACTGCTTTAATGGAAAGGTTAGTGGTGAAAAGGCAATGGATGGAAGCAAATGATCATGAAATTTGTCCTAGGATTGCTGCGAAACTGGAAAGGTCAAGAGATGAAAGCATTAACTGTTATCCAACGCCTTCGACAATGACACAATTCCAAGTAAGACATGTTCTAGATGAGTTGGTTGTGGATTTGGAAAACCAAACATGCACATGTAGAAAATGGGACCTCACCGGTATCCCATGTTGTCATGCAATATCATGCATTTTTTTTTTTGAGAAAGAAAGCAGAAGACTTTGTGCATCCTTTCTACAAGAGAACAACCTACTTGAAGAGTTATAGTGGGAAGATAGCTGCTTTAGAGGGTGAAAAGTATTGGCCATCTTCTGAAATTTTGGTTCACCCCCCTCCAATTAAAAAAGGCCCTGGCAGACCACAGAAAAAAAGAAAAAGAGATCCTTATGAGGATCCTAAAAAAGTTGGGAAGCTAACTAGGCATGGTAGAGAGATGCATTGTAGTAAGTGTAAGGAAAAAGGGCACACAAAAAACAAGTGCAAGAGCAACCCTGAAGAACTCTCACAAGCCATTACTAAGAGGCCTAGAGGGAGGCCAAGAAAGATAAATATTAATGATCAAGTTTCAAATACAAATCACCATTCAGTTGTGGCCCAACCTTCTAATAGAGGTAGGGGTGGGAATAGGCAAAGAAGGGGAAGAGGAATACAAGCGGTTGAAGGCAGAAACAAAGTGAGAGGGGAACATATGTTAGCTATTTAATTTATTTAAATCATTTTAAAATTTTATTTAATTCTAAAACTGAAAATATGCAGATTGCAGCTGGATCTGGGGATTACTATAACTCTGCAGATGGTAATCAGTATATGAATGTATGTGTACTAATGTTTTTTAATACTTTTGTGGTAATCATTTATATGACTTTTTGTAGCAAGTCTTATTCGTATTTTTTTTGGCTATACTTTGATTTTGCAGACAATGACTAATCCTATGAATGTATCTGAAGTGTCCTTCCCTAAGACCCAATCATCTCTGTCAAGACAAAATGAAAGCATTAACGCTTCTACGGGCGCAACTCAAACCTGAAGGCAGTGTTGATTCCCATGACAGTTTTTAATTAGATGGATCATGTATTAGTCGTTTTTGGTATACTTTGGTTAGAAAATTGCTGGTTTTGCAGATATTGACCATTTCAAACTATATTTTGGTTAGATGAACCCTGATTGGATGTTAGTATGTTATTGTATGAATGAATTCTTGGATGATGTTTATATATTTTGGGATGGATTGCAGTTTTTATTGTTGTTATTATTGGATGGAATCTACAGTCTAGACACAACATCTTTTAAAACAATCTGATATTCCACATTAGTCTGGCTGATTTTTTTCTTAAGCTAATGGCCGGAATCCTGGGACTTCATAATACTTCAGTCTCTTCACAACCCCAGCGTGCCAATACTAGTTCATGGTTCCAACCTCACCACTGCTTATATTATAAAGCTATAGAATACTGGAAGTGATCTCTTTTTGGTGGATAATACTTAAAGCCACTTTAAACATTGGGCTGACAGCAAAGCCATTGAAATAGAAGCAACTAAAAAAGACTAGCTAGCTAGCCATCTTTCCCTAGCCCTTTGAATTCGAATCTGCACATATCATGGTTTGGCATTATTCACTTCTTTCACCCAGAACTTTGGCATCTTTACTACATTCCACCACTTCATTCATTTTAGTTTAGTTTTATTAAACCATGAACTTTTTAGGATACACAGTAATACATTTGTTACTATTTCTTAATTATGGTTGTGAAACCAACTTTATAAATTCTTATCAGTTCTTAATATCAGTTTTTAGGGTAGAGATCGATTGGTGAGAAGATCGTTTGATGAGGTGAATATGATTACAAAATGAAACCAAAATTATGCGACAAAGAGAAGATGGAGAAGAAGACAGCAGATAAAGAAGAAAAGGAAGAGAACATGGAGACCGGCTAGAAGAAATAGCGATGGTAGCGGTAGGGATTAATATAAAACGGAACCGTTAGTCCCGTTTCATTCCATCTATTTATGTGAACATGTTTAAGAGTTCGGAGTATTTGTATACATTTTGTCGGTGGGGATTATTATTGTGTAATCGGTACAAGTACAGATTATTGGTGTGAATTTCCCCTAAATATGATTCTTGTATTAATCAAAGCGGTCATTTATAATTACACATATTGGAAATTCATTCACTATCCAAACCAAAATACCTTGCAAGTTAAAACTCTCCTTAGAAAGTGTGCGCACCACACGTTATAGCCCCAATTTTCTAGAATTCCTTCAACTCTTTTGTTAATGGTTGCAAATAAACAGCGAATTTTTTATGATATGAAGTTATTTAACCCCGAAATCAATATATTTAAAATTAAGAACTATTATTTCAAGTAAATAACAGTTTAAAACATCAATATATAGTAGCATTATAGCATGTAACGTAAGAGATGACAAAAGGGTATACACAAGTATTTCATTTAACATATTAATATCTTAAAAAATCATAATAAGTCTAGCGCCAAGCATATAAACTTCCCAAAATTGGGAATGAAGAACAAAAGAAAATGTTGTAGTTGATATGTAATTGTTAAAAAAGTAAAATTACTTATTTCAAATAGTTTGATTGTATTTATTTAGTTCAGTTCAATTTATAGAGGTGAAACCTAAATTGAAACCGAACAAAACTACGATTTGGTTTTATGCCCTTTTGTTTATTTTTCTTGTACTTTGATTTTCATCAATTCAATTTATGATTTTCAATTTGACCGATCCACCCGGACCACCCCTAACCTTTTCAAAAGCATTCCTTCAGTTTCTTCGAGTGTACCTATTTTGGGCATTCTTTTATACAAGTATTAAAATCCCAATTCCCAACACTTGTCCTGTAGGTCTTTGCCGTGCCTTTTGTCGACCAAGGTGTGCTTGGGGAGTTGTTTAAAACAAGCTTGATATCTTCTTGCATATCCACATTTTCATGCGTGTATAGTTACAAGTCACAATCTACCGAAAGACAATTCACTTGGCTCATTAGTATGTGATAGGGAACAATAATGCACTACAAAAAATATTACAGAATTAGCACGGATTTAGCCTGAATTTACCAATAATTTCGTGTTAAATTGTTTTAGACACGGATTAGGCGTATTCTTGGCAAAATTCCTGCTTTTTTTTGGAAATCTCTACCAAAATCTTTGCAAAAAATCTCTGTCAATCAAAGATTTGGCAACTAACAACTTTTGCATTAGAATTATGTATATATATAATTATATATAGTAACAATCTCATCGATCCAGACTGACAAGGATCAAAATATAAGGTGTTCACTCGCACAGAACCCACTAAAGTAAAAGGCCCAAAAGATTAATAGTACCCCATTTACCCTTTACAATTTTGTCATTTTCTTTTTTGATTGTGCCATAATGTTGATGCTTTTTGTAATCAATAAATTTGTGATTTTATTATTTTTTTAATCTATGTTAGAGTTTTAGTTATTTTAGTATTTAATTGAGATTATTAAAATAACTCAAATAATTGACATTGAAAATTTGATAACTGATTTTGCATCTAAATATGTTAGACATATGCCTCTTTTAATAAATTATACGTAGTATTTTGTTATTGTATAATGTTATTATTAGTTAATAAAATGTATCATGACATATATCATTAAATTTTTTACTTGTATTAAAAGGGACCGTATTATTTTGTTGCACATTGCCCCTAATTTATTAGGGCCCGTATTATTTTGGAGTTTTTTCTAAATAAATGCTAAATAAAAAATAATTAACGAAATTAGGATTGAGTTAAAACTATTTACCAAAATAATGCTGAAATTAACTCCGGTTAACCAAAGATGCCCATAGGTTTGGCGACTTATGTTTAAGTCGTAATTCTCACGCAGAAGCAAGCTAAAATTGAGCAGCCAATAGGAAGTCAATACATGGACCCAAACTTCAAAAATCTCTTTTTTTAAAAAAAAAAATTGTTATAACTTTCTTATTTATAATCTGATTTTAATAAAAACTATACCAAAATTCATGAATTTTTATCATCTTTCATTTGATACCAATATTGAATATATAAAAATAAAAATAGTTCTAAAGATACGATGAGTGGAGGTTTTTAGGCTACAAACTTCTTTAAGTAGATATATCTTCTAGCATTAAGATCTCATAAATTTTTAGAGTCTGTTTGATCACACTGAAATTGATTGAATCGACTAATTCTATTTAAATTTATGAATTGAAGTTCCGGTTGAAGTGGTTGGCATGACTGATTCTGTCGATTTTTGTAGAAAAAAACTAAAATATTTTTTATTATTAAGATAAAGAAACAATTGTATGAAGATACAGTTAAAATGGTCTTCTACAGTAACTTCAGCCACTACACTTAGAAAAGTAATTCAAACTTACTTTTTCTTATTATGGACTACATTACACATGCAATTCAACGCGTGAAATAAAAAGTTACATGTTTGGTGAAAAATTTGATTGATTTCCTGATAAGCCGGACACAATTCAGAATATTTTTTTCACCAAGCACGTAACTTTTGATTTCGCGCGCTGAATTATGTAATACTCCATAACAAGAAAAAGTAATGTTTGAATTACTTTTCTGTTTGTAGTGGCTGAAGTTACTGTAGGGGGGCATTTTAACAATGTCTTCATATAATTGTTTCTTTATCTTATTAAGAAAAATTATTTAAAATGTAATTTTTTATAAATCGACAGAACTCCATAAATTTAAGCAAAATCAGTTGATTCAATCAATTGCAGTGTTATCAAACAGGGTCTAAAAAATTATGAGAAGTTAATGTTAGAACATACACAATATATCTACTTAACGAAGTTTGTGGCCTAAAAACCTCCGCTCATCGTATCTTTAGAATTATTTTTATTTTTACATATTCAATATTGGTGTCAAATTAAAGATAAATAAAAATTTGTGAATTTTGTTATAGTTTTTATTAAAATCAGATTATAATTAAAAACATTATAACAGTTTAAAAAAAGAGAGATTTATGAAGTTTGGGTCCATGTATTGACTTCCTATCGGCTGCTCAATTTTTGCTTGCTTCCGCGTGAGAGTTACGACTTTAAGTATAAGTCGCCGAACCAATGGGCGGCTTTGGTTAACTGGAGTTAATTCCAGCATTATTTTGGTAAATAGTTTTAAACCGATTCTAATTTCGTAAATAATTACTTATTTAGCCATTATTTTAGAAAAAACTTTTGTTGCATGATGATGTTTTTATTGGTTAATTCTTTTTGCCACGACAAATTACAATGAAAGTGGGGAATTGAACATAAGAGGAAATGAGTTATGGGCTTGCCATGTGATAAAACTGATGTAGAAATTCATAACACCAAAAAGTGAATCAGACGGATATATATCCATTTCAACGTTTGGTCGGTTATGCTGCCGGCAGCCCAACAACATAACTTTTTTTTGAAAGGAATAAGATTAATTATCATTAAGGGTCTGTTTGCAACAGCTTCTGCTTTTATAAAAGTGTTTTTTTTAATGAAATGGGAAGAAGTGATTAAATAAAAGTTGATAGTGTTTGAGAAAAAAGTGATTTTGAAAAGTAAAAGTGGGTAGTGTTTGGTAAAATAAGTGCTTTTTGTGTAATAGAAAAAGTAAAAGCACTTTTGACGCGGAAGCCAAAAAAAATAAAAGTTGTAGTGTTTGGGAAAATAAGTGCTTTTTAAAGCCAAAAGCTGAGAAGTGCTTTTTTAAAAGCAGTTGCAAACCAACCTAAGCAAATCGTTGGCTAAAGCCGGAACAATGAATGAAGGAGGAAAATCAACCCATAACTGCGAATCAGACAAAGAACAAGCTTCCCTAGCTAACAAATGGGCCGACTTGTTCGCTGATCGCCTTACATGACAAAATGAAATGAACGAAAATGAATTCGCTAAATCTCTAATGTCGTCTCTCAAAAGACCCACCAAGGAGCAGCTTGAACCTTCAAGGATTTCCGATATTGCCCGAGCTGCATCAGATTCAATTTCCACCGAAGTTATACCATACTCCTTGAGCCAACTCATCGCCTCCTGGATACTCATAAGCTCGGCTCCCAATACTGACATAATACCCGGCCAAGGTGTTGACGCCCCAACAACATAACTTTTAATTTTGTGCAAATTAGGATTTTTTCTTTTGGAATGTTTTCCGTCCTAGACCAGACCAGACCAGACTTAAACAGACCAGACCAGACCAGACTTAAACAGACCAGACCAGACCAGACCAGACTTCCGTAGTTATAAAATACACAGAGACTAGACGTTTACCAGACCAGACCAGACCAGACCAGACCAGACATAAACAAACCAGACCAGACCAGACTTAAACTGACCAGACCAGACCAGACCAACAAATTTCAGTCCAAAAGAAAACATCCTTACCCGTGCAGTCTACTTTTAGGTACTAGATACTCCGTATCATTTATGGCCCATTTGATTTCTCTTTTCATTTTTAACTTTTCTCTTTTCAATATTGACTTTTTATTTCACTTTTAGGCTGAGTAAAGGTTCAATTTGGTCCTCGAAGTTGCAAAAAAGGCGCCAAATAAGTCCTTATATAGAAGATTCTGTCCGGACGTGCCATTTGAGGTGGCTCCCGGTGGAATTTTGTGATAAATTTTTTTGAGCATCTTATTTATTAAGTCTAGTTTACTCATACCAAATTTCAGCTAAAAATTCAATCGGGAAGACAAATGAATGTTTAAAGATAACAGCTTTTTTAACGGCTGTTTCACCGATCCCTCCCCAAATAGAGTAATATCACGAGAGAGACGCAGAGGAGAGCGATTTTCCCAGTCGCAGAGGAAAGCAATGGAGAGACGCAGAAGAGATTTCCGATCGGTGTTTCTCAAACATGGGAGAGTGACGGAGAGACGCAGAAGAGATTTCCGATCGGTGAGTTTCAAATCTGGGAGACCTATAGAAAGACTTCCAACTCTCATCTCATGGAAGGTCCCGTAGCCGGAATTAAGCATCATCGATAAAGTGCGTTCGGATTCCTCGTTTCAGCATCACCAGGCAGCGATGTTATCTGTTTGTTGGTCTCCAGGTTGGGAATAGAGAGAAGAGTAGCGACGATAAAGGTATACCTCAGATTCTGGACAATAAGATTAAAGTCTATTAATCCAATTTATTGCCTTCATCAACCTCAATTCTATAATTCTCCATTGATAGAGCTTCTTCATGCCTTTAGCCGGTTTCTCCACTTTGATTATTAATTGTTTTTTATATTGTTTTCCATTTTAGTAATCCTTTCAGAATTACAATTAATAAATAAGGGCATTAATACAACAATACTCTATTTCATTCATTTCCATTTGCTTTTAGTTTTTTCAGCATTACTGGATCCTATTAGATTTCTTTAGATGGAAAGCATCCTGGATGTTACCAGTCATACTAAATGAATAAATGTGTATCTCAATCTAACATGCTTATTGTCGACTACCAGATATATCAGATTATGATGATGTTAGGCATTGTTGCAAAGAAGCTAATGTTTGCTCTAACTGTTGGTCAATGATGACTGATGACAGTTTATGATGATGTCTCTGGAGTCCGTTTGTAAACCTATTATCAGCACTGCCAACTTGCCAAGTGCCAACTTAATGGGGATCAAGGTCCAGAAAAAACTTGATTAAGTTTCGTTATGTTGTATTTACTTTGCTGATATTGCACATCTAAAAGGAGTAACATCAAAAGTCTATAGCCACCTATGCTATTTAGAGGAGATTAGGTCTGATCTACCACCAAATGAAGCCTTAGTTTTTCTATGTTTGATTAGGGAGATTAGCCAACTATGCAGTGTTAATTTCTTTAATGAAAACAAAAGAGTGAGATTAGGGAGTGCTTATTTTTTATTGTTTTGTTTTCCAAGTGCACTGGATTGTGCTCAATAGTGGAGTATGGACTGATATGTTTGTAGATTAATTTGTGATTTCTTATACTTATGTAGCAGTTTTACACACAGTTTAAAAATAATCTATAAGTGTTGATCACATCAATTCACTCAAACTAGAGAAAAGTTAAATGTATTCTAATCTCACTAAGTAAATTACTAAACAGTTTCTATAAGGTGAATAATTTCTGTTTGACATGAATACCAATAAAACATTCCTTCCTACATTTACTTTTCTATAATAATACCATCTCACATTACAAACAGTTTCTTTGAGATGGACATAATAATGCTAAGGTAGCTTGGGAGGTTTTATGTCAACTAAATGAGGAAGGGGGCTATGGATGATGGCATGCCAGACTTGTCAATAGCTCTTAGGAACATCCATTTAAAGAAAGACATCCTTTGGATCAAATAGATATACACTATTAATTAAGCCAATGATGACTCTAATCTGGAAAAGATATTGATGGGTTCACATACATAAATCATGCTTAAATAGGTTACGAATGAGTTCCGCGCTTGATCCAGGTCCCTGGGCATTTGAGAGTGAGCAATGGGCAGTTACTATGTTAAGCCTTATAGTTTTACTCATTTCCATAAAAAATAAAGGTGAATAATTGTACTATGTTCGTCATCCCTTCTCCCGATTTTTAGCCTTTGTATTCTTTAATTCCTTGTACCTACTGAATAAGCTATCAGTCTTGTTTGATTTTTTTTTTTTGCTCAATTTAGATGTTGGAAGCCACTGGTTACCAATGCATAGCTCCTTCTTGGCCCTGAAAACAAGCCATGATGATGTGAATGGAGTAGCAGTTTTCATCCAAAAAAGTGAAGGGAAGTAGCAGTTCGCTATTCAGGACATACTATGGAAATAGAAAATTTATGGCTTAGTTTATTGTTGTGCATCATTTGAGGTTCCTTACATCCTCTTATTTCTTTTGGGATAGAACCAAATTGAATGTTTGAATGACGTTCTTATCAACTCTGCAATGCAAAGCTGGCTTTACTTCTCATTGCTTTCCCGGCTTCTCTTTGCTTCTATTTCATTGGTGTTATTTGTGTGTATTTCATTGCATATCATTTATGTCACCTAATAATTGATTTTTCAATTAGATAAATGTAGTAAGTTGGAACAATAGATTGAATTGAATATTTGTTGTGATACTCTAGTATATTATTTTCTGTTGCTTTTTGTTGTACCACCATGTGTATTGCATTTTGTTGCATTGTGTTGTTTTTTGTTGCGTATAGTTACTTTTTATTGCATTATGTTTCTTATGATTGTTTATTGTTGATTCTGATTTTTGTTGTTTATTTAGATTTCTATTTATTTTTCTACATCTTTAAAATAGAAATATTCATATAGGTTTAGCCTAAATCATTTATATACAAACACCTAAAATGTTAAATTTCAATATATGAGTATGAAAAGCAACCTGATACACAAAGAAACAATAAAAAACAAAAAATTCAAAATTATCACAAAAAGAAACTCAAAGAAATCATAAGAAACAAAAACTAACAATAAAGTGATAGTATTAATAATTAAAACATTAAGTACTCTAAGAAAAAGTACATTACAAAAAATTCGTTTTTTAATATATAATAATTAGTTTTAAAGTTCATCATTTTAAATTTTCATATTTTAATTCTATGAGTTTATTTTAATTTTACAAACTTTTAAGTTTTATTAATTTTCTGATTCTTTTGTAATTTTATTTTATATATTTTACTAGAAAAAATAATGCAATGGAGTTTTTATTATTTAAATTTTTATACTTTTATATATTTATTTGAATTTATATTATTTTATCTAGTTTTTTTTTTCTAAAACTTTTACTCGTTCTAATTTCAAACTATTTTGATGTTTACTCGTTCTAGTTTAAGATTCTAATTTTTAAAGTTTAATTTACGTTTATTCATTTTTTGAGAAAGTTTATATTGTTTTACTTTTTATACGTTTATATTTATATATTTCTCTTTGTCCATTATTTTTTACAAAACTAATTATTTATTGTTCAATTTTCCCATGTTTTAATCTATTTTAAATCTTTTTCGTTTTTAATTTTCATTTTTTCTATTTAAAAACCAAACTTGAGTGATTGATGAAGTTTTAATTAATTTATCTAAAGAGAAAAGTCACTCATTAAACTACCTGCACTTAGGGAATTAGAAGAACAATACGGAGTAGTAGAGAATTAGGTGGGTTGGATGCTTCATTCGTCATATGGTACTCCGTAATCCGTATGGTCTATTTATGAAAACAAGAATTAACTAGTCTATTTTTGAAAGAAAAGTTGAAAAGTGAAAAAAGTGATATATCTTTCAATCTTTGGTCTGCTTGCGAAAAACTCCCTTTAATTTTTTCTACATTAAATAAGATTTTTTTTATCATTACATTAAATAAGATTAAAATTAGGAGTTTCATTAATTGGCCTTCACAATTTTTTTGAATGAAATAAGCTTAAATTGATAACACATCATTCATATAGTGGGTATTCCAACAAAGAGAATCCTGACAACCGTCATCCCGCGAACAAGATTCAGAGTTAATCACCTCATAAGAAGCAATATAACTTGCTGATTCATTAATGGGCATAATTGAGCTAAAAACGGTTACCACAACTCTTTCATCACTTACTTCCAAATTCACAGTCTTACAAATAGGGAAAGCAAAAACAAAACACGCAATAAAACAACAAGAATTGTCACGAAAAAAAAAACAGATTAAAATAAGTTGCTGTCCGATCTTGCCAAACTGCCCGCAAACCCAAAACCTCTTCACTAGTACCAACTGCAACACCTTTGGCGGCAGGGGAGGATCTATGTACAGGCTATGGTAGGCTGAAGCCCAGGGCAACTTAGAAATTTTTCAATTTTTTTAGTGTAAATTTTTTCATTTTTCACAATTAGCCCACCCCGTTGATATTTGACCCTAGTATAATTCCTATTCAGCCCAGTGCGTCTCAGATTCCTGGATCCGCCCCTGTTTGGCGGACTTACTGGCCAAAGTCCGCCTCTTCCCGTTTTTTGTCATGTCAAGAGCTATGTTATCCACCTCAAGCTTGTCTGCTTCCTGGCCTCCCAAATCCTTCTTCTCTTCTGCTTCCCTAAAACTTTCTCCTTTGTTTTAGCTCCCCCCTTTAGGTGTACTCTGTGCTGATTCAGAAATAGACTCCCTTCCCCTTCTCCCATCCTATCATGAGACTTATTATCCCCCATAAACCTTTGGTTTCTGCCAGAGCTCGATGAACCTTCCACCAACCATCTACTACCTCCTGTTGGGCTAGTCTTCACCCCGCTCCTTGCCCGTAGCTGAACCCCAATTTTTTTTTTCCAGAACAAGATCTTCTTCATAGGTTAATGGACAGAATTTATCTGAATGCCTAATCAGGCCGCATATGAAATAGAAATTGGGCAACTTTTCATATTTGAAATCCACCCAATAACTCTTTCCATCTTTCTTCAGGTTAGAGCCATTTTCAAAGGTTTATCCACATTCGTACATACCCTGATCCTCATATAAGATTCCCATTTTTCACTATTCTTATTATCATCATATTTAATGAATTTTCCAATAAAGTTACCAACCCGTTTGGCAATACCTAAATTTACTAGACTATAGGGAATATTATGCACTTAAATCCAAAAATCAGCCTCATTAATCACAATCTTATGCGGAATATCATCAGATTTAATTTCTTTCAGAAGCAACAGACTGCGCTCAAATTGCCACAAATTGCCATGGACTGCCATCAAACACACGATTCATATCAATGCGATGATAAAAAGTAAAAAGATACCTCTTTTCACCCACTTCTTTGATCGAGATTCCTTTCCTCGGCCTCCAAATTAAAGCGAAGACATGAGTTCTTTGAAGGTTGTGAACTTAACCTTTCTGTCCGTCAATAGCACACCCACCACCGGGAACCCCGAATTGTCCTCCTCTGCGGGCACTTCCTCCGAATCGAAATTGTCAAGATCCAGTGATTCTTCCTCTACCCCAATCGCCATTCTTTTATACTTATCTACGAAGATTTCCATCTACAGCCGCTGCCTTACCTTCCTGCCGGACCGCCGCCGCATCATGAAACTCCTTGAAGCAATCCCTGTGAAATAGCAAACGCTCGCCTCCACACCAGGACCTACGAATACCGCTTCTGGCTGACCAATCCTCCTTCGCGTATCCAACAATCCAAAAATGAAATCCAGTTCCAAAGCCGGAAGACCCCCGACACCGCCCCTCGGAAAAATCGATGGCGGACGAACCTAAGCTAAGGTTCTCGAGAGAAAACCATAGAGAGAGGACTACTTATATGTATACTAGTTTTTATAACGCGCGATGCGCGATTAGAATAATGCCCAATGTATTTTATGCAACATAAATTTTGAGCTCAAACCCTAAACCCTAAATCCTAAACCCTAAGTCATGTTTTCACCTCATATTTTTGAAGTATTAAGAATCAGAAACGCATTCAAGTTGGCTAACAAATCAACAAAGATAGTGAGCTAATTTATGCAGTCATAATAAAAGTTGCAATCACTCGACCAAATAAGTCAGACAAAATACACTTATGTAGTTATATCGACAGAATAAGGGCTTGTTTACTTGTGACTTAATGGGCTTAATGGATAGTGTGAATTAATCATTCAGCTATATGGTAATGTTTACTTAGGACTTTTTAAAGACAGTGACTTATTCGCACAGACATTTCATCAGTTATTCGGTCAGCTCAGTTTTAGCACTGCTTCCGATTCAGACGTGTAGGTGTGAGGGGATTATCTTTTTTAACCCCGCTTCTCTGTTCTTTTATTTCATCACACGCATCACCATTCGCTAGAACACTCTGCGAACTACCCCCATCGGACTGCCCATGGAGTGATGGAGCCATCACGAAAGCAGCGAAGAGGATCTCATTCCCTACCTTCTTCTCATCTTGGTGTTTTCTCTTGATTTATAATTGTTTTACTACGTATATTTTATTCTTTTAAATTGCGTCTGTTCTCCTTGTTCCCGATCTAATTTCATTTTTCTCATAATCTACTGATAGTATATGTCAACATCTTACTTTAGAATTTTGAAACTACAATCGATTTTTTAGCTAAGCCATTGAAGACCACGATGCATCAGATACGGAGATACCTTACATTTTGATTTTGAAATTTGAATATAGTGGCTTAAGGTTTTCTCAAAGCAAAAAGTTTACTTGCTTACGGATTAGATTTACAAATGAAGAATAATTGTAGATGAAGAGCAACTACGAATTACAAACAGAGAGTTCAAAGACTGTAATTTGTGCCTTCGGGAATTGCAAACACAAAGAAGTTAAAATTCATACTTTGTTTGTTCACACACAGCAAATTACTTATACATACGCAACCCGAACATCATTGAGAATAGCAAAACAAAACATAATGCAGAATATATGTTCAATGCTTATTACAGGGTAAATTGGTCCTTTAATATAATTCAGATTACACATTCAGCACACATAGTAAACAGCATGATATCATAATGTCACTTAATCCAGATAGACGTCTTAATACAGACAGACATCTTAATCCAGACAGGACTTAATGAGAAAAAAAGTAAACAGCCCCTAAGTCGCATTTGACTACCAAACAATGTCTAACATCACATGAAAAATGACTCTATCTAAATTTCCAGAGGCCGGAAAAAATGAGAGCATCATAAGTTAAGTTTAGGAAGACAGACTCTATTGAATGACTTAACCAATACCATACAAGCATTATAACTTAATGAGCTTAATTTGTTGAAGTGGCCTGATGTTAGTAAAATGCATTTGTTTCTCAGAAAGCATAGGAGATTCGTTACAATAGAAATAGAAATAGAAATAGAAATAGAAATAGAAATAGAAATAGAAATAGAAATAGAAATAGAAATAGAAATAGAAATAGAAATAGAAATAGAAATAGAAATAGAAATAGAAATAGAAATAGAAATAGAAAGCTGAAGTATTCATATGAGTTCCGTACAACTCTTTTTACTCCACACATTGCATTAGAGATAAGCTCACATTTGCAATACCTTTTTTAAGGTCAGATCGCAAAGCAAGAGGTTAATAAAAAATGTTTAAATGCATGTTTATACACTTGAAGGAAGAAACAAAAAGGAAATCACTATATAATCTCTTCATTACTGTTAGCATCCTCCCACAAAGTTTATTTGGTCCGGTCTAATGTTGTTTAAAAAGGTCATCCCTATATTTTTTTAGGTTGATTAAAAAAGGAAAGATTTTTTTTTATTGAATTACCTGAGGCTCATAGAGATGCAAAAGATATACATTTTGATCATGAAATTCATGAGGTGAAGGTTGAACCTACTACCTGTAAAGTTGATGTATGATAGAAGTCCAAATAAAATGCAAATCTACCATGTATCAAAATAAAAAATAAAAGCAAAACAATCACCTAAGTAAATGCAGACGAAATATTAAATAAATTACTCGTAAAAACAAACGAAAAATATTTCCCCTTTAGATGAGGCATGTGACTTTATATTGATATTGAAATACTAAAGCTATGGACAATTTGTTTCCTAAACACTTATATGTGGTAATATATTATCAGAGGGGTCAGATACACTTCAAAGATTATTATTTATTATTTATTATGATTATGTTTTTTTGCAAGATTGAGCCTCATATTGTTCTCATTATCAAATACGGAGTCCTACCTATCACATCGTTTATGATTGGATTTTCCATCTATTATATTTTTCAAGATTATATCTTATTTCATCACATTTACAATTTTTACCTTTCACAACTTTATGCCTCATAAGTAAGATGAGTTGTTATAAAAGTATAAACATAAGAGAATATAATAGGTTTCTTAAATAAAAAAAATGTAAGGGAAAAAAGTAAAGGAGTTTGAACAAGAAATTTTAAACGCCATCAAATATGATATGATTACCATTCATTTTGACCATAGCAGCAATTCAGCATAACCGGACATGAATGCAGCATGATTAAATTACCATTCATTTCCACCATATTAACAGCACTTCCACGATTTTTTTGAAGAGAATAAACTGATTTTGAGCAGCAATGCAGCATTACCACATTAGAGCTCATCACCAGAGGAATTCTTGAAGAATTATAGCAGCTCCTTTAAAACCTAAGCTATCACTATAAGCTATATTAAAAACTGTCGAATGCAAGAATTCCTAAGAATTATGGCAGCTCCTTTAGAACCTAGCCCATCAATAAAAGCTGTCAAGTTTGTTTAGTACCCAATTTATAACGACATATAGAGTTGACAACCACATTTAAAAGATAAAAACAACTAAAAAGGTAACCATACATTAAAACCTTGTTGATAACACAAGCATCAGGGGAACCAAAATGAAATTACTATGCAGTGGGAGGATAGCCTCATTTGTCTAATTTGGAGATGATTTTTCATGTTAGACATATAAAGGTGAAAGCCAAAAAAGCTAACATATAAAAGTTGAAACACACAGAACACCTAATATATAAAAGTTTACAAGTGAGCGAGTGACAAATCATTCCAGCGTAATAGCTTCACGTAGCATCTTTAAACATAATTTGTTAAATTAAAGACATAAATGTGAAAAGCATAGTAAAAATTTATAAGAAATTGCTTATATGATTGTAATAAAGTTAAAACAAATTAATGAAAAACTACTACCAACCCAAGGAAAAGCTGGAAAAAGAGAATATAAGCAGACAAACAGTTCTTCATTGATATAGGGGCACACCCCTTTCTCCCTTTATCAGCTCTTCAATTTCTTTGGCTGACAGTTTCTTCTGCAGAAACTCTTTCCTTTAATATGCACTTAATACCAACCAAAAACAAAAAAAATACAGTGCTATTTCTATACATACCACAAGGTAATCTTCACTGACGTATTTCCCCAATAGCGGTGTGAAGATTGATTTCCTCGACCTTGATAGTAATGGAGAATGTCCAATTGCAAAAGAGCTCCAGGAATTCCATTCAAGGGTCTTTGGGAGGAAAAGAAATCTGGGTTTTTGATCATAATGAAGAACCAGACATGGCAAACATTAAAAATGATGATTAAATAAAAGAGACGGAAGTAAGAAGAATTAAACTGAACTAAATAAATAAAGGAACGTTAATTACACAATCACTAAGACCCTAAAACTCCAGAAATAAAAGGCATAAAGCTAAACTTAGAAAATATACATTGAAAATAAACTGAAAGTGAAATACATAGCCTGAAAATCGGAAGACCCTGGCTTAGCGAGCAGGCTGTGTGAGAAACCTTTGTTGATTTCAATGTCAGGGGTTGAGGGAGTGGAAGCTGATTACAGTGCCATGGTTGTGAGTAATTGCTGAAGTTTGGACAAATTACAATCGACATCCATTGTGGACTCAGAAGAACTTGAATGGGAAGGGATCGTAGTAGGGAGAAAACCCATTTGCGCCAAACGGAATAGTCGGAAATAATGCGAGCGGTAACATGGAGCATTAAACTGTAACCGGATGGATGGCTATTAGAGACGGATACGAAACGGAAAGACAACCATATTGCTAAAGAGTACAAAAGATAAAGCACAATGTGCAATCTTATTTAGCAACATGATTACACCAACATTTTTTGTCTACCTAAATTACCCTAACCTTGATTGATGATTATAAGATTTTAAGAGATATAGTTATCGCATTTTATTTTATTTAAATATGATTAAATATATTGAAGTCCCATAACAAAAAAATATGAAATAATAAAGTGTTAAAATAAGATTTTAGGTTATTCCTCCTATCAAATTGATTTTTTTAGAATGCAGCTCTGAGTCTTAACATGGTATCAAAGTCAAACGAACAATAAAAATGGTGAGGGTACCCTATGAAAATGGCGTTGCGTTTATAAAAATTGACAATGACAAATCGATGAAAAGTATGAATAACACGATCCTCACAAAGTCTCTGGTCGTGAGGGCGGATGTTGAAATCTCACACCGTTAATATATGAAATTATAAATTGTTATATTAAAAATTCTTGATTATTCATCCTATCATATTTGAATGAAACTCTATATCTTAATAAAACGTTCATTTTCTACTGTTAATATAATAAATAGAAATTACCCTAAGTAGGATTAAAGTTTCCCTAAAAAGCACAAATAGGACTACTACTTTTGTATGAATAACATAACTCTCACGAAGTCTTTGGTCGTGAGGACGGATGTTGAAATCTCACACCATTAAAATATGAAATTATAAATTGTTATATTAAAATTCTTGATTACTCCTCCTACTATATTTGAATGAAACCCTACATCTTAATAAAGGGTTCGGTTTCTACTTTTAATACAATAAATAGAAATTATCCTAAGTAGAAATTATCCTAAGTAGCACAAATAGGACTACTACTTCTTAAATCCCCCAATAAGACTAAAACTTGATTTCCACCATAAATACCCCTAAGGGTATTAATTCACAATGAAATGTTTAATTCATAAAAATCTTAATTCATAATAAAATCGTAAAAATAATAAAAAAAATCGTAAAAAATATTAAAAAATCGTAAAAAATATAATATTTATAAAATAAAAATTTGAAAAAATATTTGTTTTTTTGAATTTTTTTTAAAAAAATTAGTAAAAAGTAGTAAAAACGCATAAAAAAATATAAAAAAATGGATACTTTTCCCACTACCTTCAGCACCACCACCTCCGATTGGTGAAAATCCTGATTTTTTTTGTGAAAAATGCCTTTTCCCCCCCTTCAAAAATGCCAAGTAAATAGCATTATTACTCTTCATAATGCCAAAATTTTCATTGAATTTGCCACTGTTGTGGCATTACTAAAGATGTAGGGAGATTTCCTCCGGTGATGGGAGCTGGTGGTGCGGGGGTGAAAGAGGCGGCAATGTTTTTTTTCGTTTTAATTTGTTTTTTTTAATATTTTAATTCTTTATGTTTTTTTATTTTATAAAAATTTTATTATTATTTTTTACGTTTTTTTTATGATTTTATTATTAATTAAAACATTTCAAAAGCTACAGAGGTATATTTATCCAAACACACATAAATATTCCTATTGGAAGTGATTTAAAACATGTAGTCTTATTTGTGCTCTTTTGACCATTTTTGTCCCATAATTCACTCTTAGGATGTTTTTACTTGGATTGTAATCTGTCCTAGACTATACCAAATCAAACCAGACCAGACCACACCAGACTAGATCAGACCAGACCAAACCCACTTTGGATAATTATAAAAATATAAAGAGACCAAACATTAACAGATCAGACCAGATCAGACTAGACCACCAGATCACTAAAAACATCCTTAATTGTGCAGCTCTCTCGATGCAAATTAAAAAGGTTATCTCATCTTTTTTACAGCTTTAGACATTATTACGCGGCCTATTAAGTATGGCAGATTCTATGGTACCCTTAAGATATCATACCTTTGTCCACATGGACCAATAGAAATGATGCAGTTGAATTAATTAAATCTAAATTAAAAGGAATAGAATGATTTGGACCAATCAAATGCATGATATAGGTATGGTACCCCAATTTTTAAAAGGATACCGGAGTTGTCACCATTAAGTATATGTCCATTTCCTCTATCTCTTAGCTAGCAAGTAGCATCGTAATCCGTTATTACGCAAGCAACATATATGCCCATGCGCCTATCAGTAGTGGGATATATAGCTAGCTTATGCATTAAAGATGTTTTGGGGACTTGGTTCCATAAAAAAATCATATACGCAGTATTCAAAATTAAGAGGTTAACGTCTAATTAGTTTTGAACTAGAATTGTTGGAAGTTGCAATCTAAAACCTAATTAATTCAGATTCTGTTATGACTTCGTGAATAGGTAATAAAGAAAGTTTGGCTATATATAGTAGCCTATAGTCCCTATACATATATTGATCGAGTTGGCATGAACTTGGAGGGGATTGATCAAGTTTGACACGAATCATAACATATTTTTGGTACAGCGTCGTGCCAAATAGCTGATGACAAAAAGGCATTGACACGGAATTTGACACAGATTTGACGTGTTCATTCCAAATCCGTGCCAAATACCTTATAAATTTTGGATAATCCATGCCAAATATCCGTGCAAGTCCGTTCATTGTTTTTTTTTGTAGGGATGCTCCATTTCATGTCAAAACTAAATACGTAGTATGTATCTAATTAGATTAAGAATTAGGATCGTCATATGTGCAAGTGCCCAAATCAGCACTAATAATTTATGATCTGCCAATTAAGCTAGATTTCTTCAATTGGGATGCATGAAAATCTAATGATGTAAGAAGAAGGATACTTTGGGGATGATGAGCTGATAAAATATTATTCAAATAAGTGGTCACACAAATGTTTTATACAAGAAAATAAAGCGCGCATTTATCAAATTTGAGCTAAGGTTGGTTGGAGCTGAGCTTAGCATGTTTCTCTACCTTTGAACTAGCTAAGCTCTGAATTGTCCCGCTCCAATGGCACGGGAACCAATTAACTCTTATTCATTTGTGACCCGCTACGTAAAAGTATTGGGTCATTTGCCACTGCATGGTGAATTGGGAGCAGCCTCTTGTCAAAATGAGAGAAATTAAAGTTTATCTTCCTACATCCTTGTGATGGTATGCCAATGTGCTTAAGGTCATATTTGGTATAATGTAATCAATCATGTAATGTAATGTAATGTAATGAGCATTATATGTTGATTTGATTACGATATTTGATATGCCATTTTATTTTAAACCGTAATGCAATAAACATTGCACATGTGAAACTCATTACTTTGATATATATGTAATAAACAATACATTAAACAAGATGTGTATTTGGGATTACAACTTAAACCATGCATGGGTGGACCGGACACACACACATACACTGTGTAGATAAACAAACATAATTATGTAACGTTGATTACAATAGTTATTACTTAAGTAACCAAACATAGTGATGGACGATTCCATTCCATTATATTTTATATTGGCTTTTAAGCGTTACATGTACTTATATGTGTAGCAATAGCAATCTAATTAATTTACGACTATCTACTCGATAGACCACCATAACGAGATCGCAAGGTCAGCTTGCTTGTAGTTACCGTCGGGGTGGGAGTCAAGGATGGACATAATAAGCGACATGGGTTGTGTCCCATGATCCACTATTTTACAATTGCCCATGAAATTAAACTACCTCCGACTGTAAAAAGCAAGTTCCCAATTTGTTTATCAAAATGTATATCAAAATAAAGTTCGAATTTAGGTTACCGTCAATTTTTGATTGATTTGACATAAATAAAAATGCGTGCAAGTAAATTTGATTGCTTGTTTGCATGATAGATCAAATAGAATGGGTACAAAGTATGATTTGTGTAAGAAGAAGTCTATATGTAGAATGGATCTATGTAGAATCGATTATGTTGCATGCAATAAAAGAGTTTAAAGTTGGATGTAACTTTAGATGGTGGCATTTTTTAAATACTTGTCAAAATCCCATGTTGTACTAAAAGATGGCCAATGTTTTCATTTCTCATTCTCTGTATTAAATTAGATGCATTTCTCACTGCATACTTGAGGATGTTGTTAGAAGTTTGCTGATCTGGTCTAATCTGGTTTGATCTGGTAAACGTCCGATTTCTGTATATTTTATAATTGTTCAAGTGTGGTCTGGTCTGAGACTGAAAACAATACAAGTAAAAACATTCTTAACCAAAATCTTATACTTCTCCACTCCTAATAACTTCTCAAAGTTAGATCGATATGCTGAAGCAACACCATCTATAGTATTTTGGAGGCCCAAGACGAGATTACACATACTACGGAAATGCCATAGGTATATGCCATAGTTTATATTGTGTGGAAAAAACATACTACTCCATTCTCTTTTATTTGCAACATTGTACTTTTTGCACTATTCACATGTTCTACTTTGACTACATTTTATTAATTGATGTATAATAAATTAAATTTTTAAAAAATATTGTTAAATTCTTCTTATTCTAAATTTGCAAAATATGATTTTTTTTTAATTTTTTTATTAATAAGGAATAAAAGATATTAACGGTCAAACTTGTGCATTGGCAAACGTGAAATGTTGACTGTTGCAATTAAAAAAGAATGAAGGAAGTACTCCGTAAAATGTTACAATTTGAGATCAATTGAACTAAAAGACAAAATATAATGAGAATTACTACACGGAGAGAGTAAAAGGAAAGAGAATTCCACTAATTTGAACCATATATATCGTTTTGATATACTACGTATATTGATACAACGATAAACCTATCAAGCTCAGAATATACTTCCTCCGTTCTTTTTTAGTTGCAACGGTCAACATTTCACACTTGCCAACGCACGTCTTTGACCGTAATTATATATTAATCTCTATTAGTAAAAAATATTTAAAAATTAGATTTTAAAAATTTGTAATGAGATGAATTGAACAATATTTTTTTAAAATAATAATTTTCATAAAATAATAACATAAAATGTAGTCAAAGTAGAACATGTGAATAGTGTAAAATTCAACATGTTGCGATTAAAAAGAGACGGAGGATAGTATATTACTGTACTATATTATTAATACTCCCTCCGTCCCAATTTACTTAGTCAAACTTGTTTTTTCAAGTCAATGGTACCTAACTTTGACCGATTATATATCTATATAAAAAAAATATTAAAGATATAAAAATTATATGAAAATGTTCTTTGTTGAAAATACTATTATAAAAGTATAAAATTATTATTTTTTCATAAATATATTAGTTAAAATAATTGGTCAAAGTGTACACCTTTGCCCGGAAAAGTCAATATTGGTTAACTAAATTGGGACGGAGGTAGTATATACTACGTGTGTGGCTAGTACAAATACAAATGTTACACAAATTCAAGTTAAGGTGTCTTCCAGGAATCCACACAGTTAACATGCCGAGACCATTGAAACGCAGCCGTCCGGTTGCCGTCGCCGGAGAAGCTTTTAAACCTCCGCCAGTCGTGAATCACGGCCGTCAGGTCCGCCAGCTTGGCGGTTATGGTCCGGCAACAATTGGCATGCACCGTCACGACCGACTCAACATCCTTACTATCCTGACAAAACCCGCTGAAAAACCGGGTATCCAAGAACCGAACTTTGAGCCCTAATTCTCTGAGCGTGCCTTGGCGGATCAACTTGTTCAACACATCTTGTTCCTTCATTCCGTCCGAGGAGTTTTTCATGGCGTACCAGGAATCGAATAGGGAGATGGTTCGGTTGTTGGGCCGGATCATGTAAAACCCGGTGTTGATCGAGTTGGATTCCGACCGGTCGTCGCCGTTGAAAATGTCTGTACTGATTTGGAGGTCTAGGGTTTCATTTGTGCTCCTCAATTTAGGGAATGGATCTCTTAGCCATAGAACATCACTATCCTGCACTATGTCATCAAATGTACATATCAATTATCATATCCTTTCCCTTCAAATCCTTCTTGCCACTTTTGGGGTCTAATCTGGCATGCTCTTGTTCTCTTTAAGTCTGTTCTAAATAGGTTTGATTAATGGCTAGTTTCTATGTATTCGTAGGATGTTTTCTTTTGGACTGAAATTTGCTGGTCTGGTCTGGTGTGTTTAAGTCTGGTCTGGTCTGGTCTGTTTAAGTCTGGTCTGATCTGGTCTGGTAAACGTCTGGTCTCTGTGTATTTTATAACTACGGAAGTCTGGTCTGGTCTGTTTAAGTCTGGTCTGGTCTGGTCTGGTCCGGTCTGTTCAAGTCTGGTCTGGTCTGTTTAAGTCTGGTCTGGTCTGGGACTGAAAACAGTCCAAAAGAAAACATCCATAGTAGTAATTAAAGTCTGATTTGGTCTGATTTGTTCTGATATGAGACTGTAAAACAGTCCAAGTAAAAACATTCTAAGTGTACATTGAAGTCTGATTTGATATGTTTAAATATGTGGTCTGGTCTTAGATTAAAACTAGTTTAAATCAAACTTATATTTTATTTTGACAAACATCAAACTTATACGAAGTATTAGACATTATAAAATAGAAATTAATAATCCAACCTTTTAGCAGTCTTCTTACAATAGTCCAACATTTTCGTTATTCAAGAATAATCCAACCTTTGCACCCCATCTTCATTCGCTGGTCCCTAACCGGGTTATGACCTGCTATTTTAAGTTATTTTCTTATCTTTGTAAAATATTATTTTTGTGAAAGGTGAGATTTATGGTATAATGGTTTGCAAAGATAAGAAAATAACTTCGAATAACAGGTCATCAACCGGTCAGGGACCAGTGAATGAAGATGATGTGCAAAAGTTGGATTATTCATGAATAACAAAAAGATGGGACTATTGTAAGAAGACCGCTAAAAAGTTGAATTATTAGTTTCCATTTTCTAGAAAATATGCACACACCAATCCTTTATCATACCAAACTAAAAGTAACCAGACCAAATCATATTTTAATAAATCATACTCTCTCTGTCCCAAATTGAGTTGCAAAATTAACCTATTTTGGGTCAAACGAATTGATTTTATTCACTTAAATAGGATATCAATTCTTAATTAAACTTTTATTTGGTTTTTGGAACTTTAATTTATACAGATTTTAATGTAATTTCTGAACATGTAAACTTTAATTTTTAAAATTGAATTAATTATCAAAAGGTAAGATTTAACTTTAACATTGTTTGACAAGAAATGTTGATTTTGCAAAACAATTTGTGATGGATGTAGTATCAGATAAACAAAAACACAGTGTAAGGATGCATTTTACTTAGCTTGGACTGTTTTTCAGTTCCAGGCTTGATCAGACCATACCGAATTTGAACAGTTATAAAATACACAATGACCATACATGAACCAACTAGATTAGAACAATTGAGACCAGACCAGATGAGAAAACTTCAATCCAATTAAGAGCATCGTCCTAAATAAAAACATTTTAAATCTTACGTTGCTATTTTTCAATCGCTCCGATGCTACGTTTTTGTCGATTAATTGGTAACGTTTTTATAGTAAAAAGTTCCGTGTAAGTGTGTAACATTATTGGTATTAGTATTATCAGGTTTCCTTAATTGCCTATATGCATTAACAACCCCACAAAGATATTACATTGTGGCATCATTTATAGATGAAGTTTCCATACTTGCGTGGACGCAGTTTTATCTATTTGTGTGTACTGTAAAGACACATAAGTTGAATTTCTCTGCGGCACTTTTTAAATCATACCTGTATAATTACTTAAACTGATTCTAATTCAGTGTTTGTATACTAAATTATTTAAAACTATTAAACAGTTAACCCTAAGTTAGCATTGGATGAATGGACTGATTCCTATATTTCCAATTTCCATAGTATACCGTAAGCAACATCAAATTAAAAATGAAAAAAATAAAGAAATAAAATAATAATAATAATAATAATAATAATAATAATAATAATAATAATAATAATAATAATAATAATAATAATAATAATAATAATAAATGATACGACTACTATAAAATTACGAGATTGACACAGATTGGCCGATGATTTTGTGCCAAAATGTTTTTGGTATGGATATATTTGTCATATCATCTTGCCAAATCCTCTATGAATTTTTGCAAATTCTTGCCAAAAGTATCGGTCAATCCTGTTTTCTTAGAAGTGTAGGAAGTATAACAATAACCAAATTATTAACATTTCAAAAAAACCAAATTAGTACTAATAAATAAAGCATATATACCGTAAAGATAAAGCTGTAACCGAGCTTGAGAACTTGTCCCAAGAATTGAGTCCTTCTCCACATCATCTTTATGAAATCGGCGGACATATACAGTTTCTCTCCGACGAAATCCACACCGTCCGTTTCGAGCTTGTAGCAATGCAGTCCAAGAAACATACACCGTTCATACGACGTTTGATCGACGGTCACGATCAACAAATGTTTGACCAACTTCCTAGTACCTTCTCCTAGCCAGAAACCATCCAAGAAGAGATCCAACATCGGCTTGTCCCCTTCCACGTAAGCTTTATTCACGACGGCGATTATCACCGTCTTGTCCTCCGTGCAAGCCCCGGCTAAGGCCTCGTCAAGCTTATCTCTGTAATGCACCATTCTATTTTGACTCTGTTGGGTCAAAACGAACAAGGTTGAAGTATTTGTCCAAGCCGGATTGATACCGAATATAAAATAATAAAACACTATATAAAGATTCATTGCACGACATTGACATGAACTTTGTGCCTTAACAAACAAACAATGAATATATATACAAATTATGCATAAATATGTATAAGAAAAATTGGTTGATTATTGAATAAGATAGGGAAGATATTACATACGTTATTGGTCATTGATGGGGAATGGGAAGGAGGGTTTTGGGTGGGAAAGATGGATATGAGGCTATTGTTGGACTGGGTAGGGTTAGTTGAGATGAGAATGTAGAAAACTCCAAAGAACAAAAGGGTATATACAAGAAAATGAGAAAAATCGGCTGCCCAGAAAATCTTGGTACATTCCGCCATATGTGCGGCGGCTGGCGGCGGTTGGTGGATGGAATTCTAGGTTGCGGCCGCCGGGGCTTTTTATGGTGGTTTGATGGTTGTAGCTAGGGGTTTTAATTTAGATATAGATGATTGTTTTTGGATCACTGAGTGTTGGATTTGATTTCAAATAGTCATGGTAGGTTTCGATCAAAACTTTAAAGTTATATACACACATGTGGATTACTAAATTAAGAATATTGTGCGAACTTCGTTTTTGGGAAGAAATTGAAGAGACCTTCGCTTTGTAAACACTTCTTCGACTTTTGTAACCTACACTAGGGTAATGAATTCACAAAGGTTAGTTTATTTTCTTTCCATTCCTGAATTTCGAGAATTATATCGCGGGATCGGCTGATCAGTTGTGTTTTTTTACGACATCACTTTAAGTAACAAAAGTAAATTCTTAAAACGAAGATGACCTTGAAATTAGGGGGGTGGAAAACCGAAATTTCGGTATAGCGCATTTACCATATCGAAAAATACCAGATTTATCGAAGATTTAGGTCCTGACATTTTCGGTATGATAAGATATCGTGCCAAATTATTTCGATATGATATTGGTATATGTTTTAAAAACATAAAGTATACCGGTATAGTGTTATACCAAAAATCTATTCAAATATTTTTTAAAAATTATAAAAATGACTAAATACACAACATCATATTAGGGATAAATAATGATTTTATATTCATGTTGTTTGATTTTTTTATAGAGATCACTATTGATTTAGTTATACGTAGTATCTATATTGTTGAAGTTATTTTAGGAGAATGTGTTATTTTTAAATACGTGGCACGTTGTACTGCTTAAATATATTAATAATAATAATTATTCAATATTGAATATGACATCAATAGATTAATATTTGTATTTTGTAAGAATTTGAAATTTGTTGTATTAAGAGACATTCATGGTAATATACCCATACTGTACTGTTTCCGAACCGAAAGTTTGGTATACCAAAACGCGGCACACCAAAATTTCGGTAAGATAACGATTTATAAATTTTGTCTAGCGAAAGTTTTGATACGACAAAGGTATATAGAAGTACTTTGTATGAGAGAAAATATTCCATATATTACACCGAAAATGAAATTTCCATTTCAAATCAGAATGTCTAATTAAATAGGGACAAAAGTTTACTCTTAATTCCATAATACGCAGTAATACTTTGAAACGTATAAATAGTTATTTATTATATATATACTCCCTCCGTTTCTTCAACATGATTTGAAGAAACAACAAGATGCCAACGAGTTGGAGGAAGATTACTCTTATCCCCTTATTCAAGAATAAATGTGATGTACATGAATGTGCCAACTATCGAGGGATTAAACTTAGGAGTCAGACCATGAAACTTTGGGAACGAGTGATTGAGCAAAGACTTCGAAGAATTGTGAAGATTTTAGAGAATCAATTTGGTTTTATGCCTGGTCACTCAACAACTGAGGTCATTCACCTTCTTCGGCAACTTATGGAGAAGTATAGAGACGCTGACAAGGATCTTCATTTGGTGTTCATTGACTTAGAAAAGGGCTATGATAAGGTATTTCGAGAAGTTCTTTGGTGGGCATTAACTAGAAAAGACATATCACACAAGTATATCAACATCATCATGGATATGTATAAGGATTGTACTACAAGTGTCCGTACTAGTGTAGGGAGGACTGCGGAGTTCCCTATTACTATCGGAGTGCATCAAGGATCGACTCTGAGCCCTTTCTTATTTGCCATAGTCACGGATGAACTTACGAAGTCAATTCAAGATGAAATACCGTGGTGCATGATGTTTGCCGACGATATTGTATAGATTGATGAGACGCAATCAGGTCTTAAAACAAAGTTGGAATTGAAGTCCGGCAACAAACATTGGAGAACAAGAGTTTCAGACTAATTCGGAGCAAGACAAAGTACATGGAGTGCAAGTTTGATGGAGGTAGAAGCAGTGGTAATAGCGGAAGTACTCTAGATGGTAAAGGAGATACCGGTCAGCGATATGTTTCGTTACCTGGGCTCCATAATTCAGAAGGACGGTGAGTTAGATGAAGATGTATCCCATAGAATCAGAATAAGTGGATGAAGTGGAAGATTGTGTCAGGGACTGAAGGGTAAATTTTATAGGACAACAATTAGGCCTGCATTACTGTATGGCGTAGAGTGTTGGACGATGAAACAATGTCACATTCAAAAGATGAGTGTGGCAGAGATGTGCATGTTGCATTGGATGTGTGGACATACTAAGAAGGACCACGTGAGGAATGAGACAATCATACAAAGGGTGGGAGGAGCACCTATTGAAGACAAGATGCGAGAGTCGCGCCTACGGTGGTTTGGTCATGTGCGTAGAAGACCGAGTGATGCACCTATCAGACGAGTTGAGATGTGAGGAGAAGAGGCAAGCAAGGAAGAGAGGGAGAGGAAGGCCCAAACAGACGTACGTGGGTTAGGGGAGTCCGAAGTGATATGCTTCTTTTTGGGTTGGATGAGAGTATGGCTTTGGAGATAACAAAATGGAGGGTGAGTATTCGTGTGGAGGAGTGATCTCGTTTTATCTTTCCTCCTCATCTTTTTTTTTTCTTGTTTTTATCCTTTTATCCTTATATATATAAACATTACTTTTATCTTTTTATTTTATCATTTCTAGGTATATTCATCTCTTTTTATATTATCTTTTTTATAATAGCTTATCTTTTTTATCTTTTTTTCTTTCTTTTCCTTTTGGTGGTGATATCATGTATCAATTCATGTTAGCCGACCCCAATATCTTTTGGGACTAAGGCTTGGATGTTGTTTATGCTCCCTCCGTTGTTTATTAAATCTCTTTAACCTTGGGCACCTGTTTTAAGAGGAAAATAGTGTACCTTCAGAAAAAGAGAGGAAAATAGTGTAGGGTAAATGAAAAATTAGGAAAAAGAATATATTAAGAAGAGTAAAATGATAATAAAATAGGAAGAAGAAAGTGGTATGTAAAAAATAAAAAAGGGTAAAAGTAATAAAAGTGGGAGTATATAGCTATATTTATCTCAAAAACTTCCAAAAAACGAAAAGAGGAACAATTAATAAAAACAAACCAAAATGAAATTAAATAAAAGACAATTATTAAATAACGGAGGGAGTATATATAGATATTAATTTGACAGAAATAATATTGAATCACAAAAATAGAATATATTCAAAGACTACAAAGAAAAGATTGACTTTGACATGCATTTTGTCAAGGATTGTTACGACTTACACGTGATTATCAACTTTCAAATTTCTCGGTACAAATTAAAGTAAATTTCGAAGAGTTCTGTCAATTAAGGATTTGACATAGATTAGCGGATATTAGTCAAACTGTTGCCAACACATATGCAAAATAAGGGGTGTTCGTCGGTTCGGTTTTTAGTCGGTCAATTTTAAGTCAGTTCGATTTTTAGTCGGTCAGTTTTAGCGACTCTTAAAACACATGAAATCGAGAATTGAACCACTAAACTTGAGTGGGATTTGGTCAATCAATTCTTGCATGTTTTGGTTGGGTTTTACCTGCTGATTCTGATTTGGCCGATTTTTTAACTCAAAAGTATAAACTGTAAATCATTCACTGACAAATTAGTCTTTTTCGGTCAGTTTCGGTTTTATCGGTTCAATTTTTGTCAATTTCGAATTCATTCAGTTTGATTTGAGTTAGTTTCTCAATTAGTTCCCGTTTTTCGGTTTTTTGTTCACCCCTACGCAAAAGTTGTGTTATCATGAAATAATTAACACTTAGTTGTTACAAAACACTTAGTAGTAAAATAAAAAATGCACATTTACCGATGAACAATTTTGACCATTAATAAATACTATATATGATTCTCTATTAGTAAAAAGTTTTAAAAAATCACATTTTAAAAATTTACATTGACACAAATTCAACAATATTTTTATAAAAACTAATTTAATTTATTATGTCGTAATACATAATAAATAAATCGTAATCAAAGTATAACATGTGAATAGTGTAAAATTCAGTATGCATGTTGCACTTATTTAAGATCGGAGGAAGTATGTAGTATTAAATGGAGCTCGCTGAAAGCAAGAATAGTAAACCTGAATTGTACATCATTTTGGGCCACTATAATATTATAATTCAAATCAGTACTGATGGTTTTACTGTGGTAAAAACGAGGGAGAGTCAGAAAATATGTTACGTGTAGATCGAGTAAGAAATTTGGCAGCGTAACAGTAAGCTTGAGAATACAAAAAGTGATCCCTTTAACAAACTGGGAGGTGATGTTTATAGTGTACTTGAGGAACAAGTAAAAATAATTGCCTCAGTAGTCTAATGACATGTGTAAAGCTAATTGGAGAAATAATATCTCATTGATTGGTACCATTGCACAGACTTTTGTCATTTCGTACTGGAATGCATGCTTGGATAAGCCACACGTGTAGTCTGACACTAACATGTGTAACCGAATTAGGTGATGTCAGCCCTGGGACAACTGTCATGTAGTAACGTAATCCTTAATTTGAGATATCTTAGTGCTGATATGTCCAAGTCCACAATTTTTATATGAGGTCCCGGACTCAGCCATAGATGTTGAGCTCAAGTGTACGTGTAACGCGCTTGCTCAGGGGGTAAGTAACCCGTCTCATAACATGAAGCTAGAATGGCTTTATTTGGTCTTTGAGCTCATAATGCGGTAGTTGGATCGAAGCTCGGTCGTAGTACCAGATGTGTTGCCAACCTCGGCGAGGGTCGGCCTCGGTCTCGACTAAACTTATCTCAATGATCTCAGAGATGATTTCGAGCTCGGCCTCAGCGAGTGCAGACTTGGTCGGAGTTGTCTTAGATTATTATGGAGATCCTTTAATTTATCGTAATGATGATACCCTTGGGGTATATGGCAATATACTCCATCAAATACAAATAAAATCTATTATATGACGTATAAGGTTAGACATGATTCTAGTTTTGAACTGAATGTTAGATCATTTATAGTTAGAAACAGTGCGATGAGTGACTCGGTTTTGATCCAAACTCACTATCTTTTAAAAAATTGAGTACTCTTAACTCCCTTATTTAATTTTCTTCTTCTAATGGGTTAAGAACCATCCCTAAAATCAATGAATGTAAATTGTTTTAAATTTTAATAGTAATATAATTGTCCTAAGTAGGACTAGAATATAATGAAAATTTATTAATAGGAGCGTAAGTTTTTTATTCCTTAAATATGACTA